GCAGGCGCCAGTCATGGTAGGACAGTTGGGACATAGCGCCTTGGTCCGGATTGGGGGGAGACGAAGAGACTATGATGATATCGAAGTGAAAATGAAAGGCTGTGCGCGCTTAGTGGGCCATTGCGCTGATACAGTATTCTTCTGAAAGTAATTAGGGGAACCTTCGGACCAGAGCAGTCACTCTTGGAATTCGATTCCGGCGGGCACTACAAACTCTCGGACGTAACACACATGATGCAAATTTCCGCCGCGTTGTCGGGATCGAATCCGCGACCTCTCAATTATTCGCACGCCCGAACCGCAAGGCGATGCCTTAACGACCGCCCCAATCGGTGTCTGAGCGCCTCTTGATGCCATCTAGTAATTCAAAATTGTTCGGTAGCGTATGGCCATAGTCCAGCCAAGAGAGTTAAAAATGAAGAAGAAATTTATGTGCTTGTAGCTAGGTTATGGTAAACCGCCGTAAGTGATTTTTCAGGAGAAGCAATTCAAAGTTTATTTAAGTTGATATAAAAACTACAAAGCATATTTCTTGCATTGAAATATTTCCCATCATTGTACATTACCGTACGCAACACTGCATATACTACTGTACTTCGCCAGTGGCTCTGCAATGCTAGAAGAAATGACAGGGTTTATTCTGCAATTTTGGCGTGGTAGAGAGGCTAGCCATTGAACTACTTCGAGCGTCCCTCCCAAACGCCTCTCCAAGCACGCGTCTTCCTCCCAAGAGCGTCTCTCCAAGAGCGTCTCCTCCCAAGAGCGTCCTACTCCCAAGAGCGTTCCTTCCAGCCATGAGATTTTTCGCCGTCACGACCGGGTGTTCCTGGCCACTGCGCGGCGCCGGGCTGTTTGCTGCTTGGGCTGGAGCGCCCCGCGCCAATTCCTCGCCCCCCCCGCGCCGCCCGCGCAGCGCCGCCAGCGCCGCCACCTGAACTGCGCAGGGCCTCCAGCGCGCGCGCACAAATCGCTCGCCCACCCGCCCGCCATGTAGCGAAGGCGCTCGGGCGCAAGTTTTAGTTGGTGCTGTAGTGCTTCCTGTGCATCAAGTGCTGTAGTGCTTCCCGGCGTTATGTTTTTGGTGTTTTGAAGACGGTCACGTGCAAGAAATTTTGAAATTATTGGCGTTGTGATGGGTGTAGATTGAAATCATACCACTGAAGTTCGCGTTCTCATTTTTCGATACTGAAATCAAGGTAGAAATGAAGTCGTTTGCCTCGTAATTTTTGAAAACTGAAATCGTTCTTTGTGTCGTTTTGAATTTGCTCTTTCAGGGGTAGTTTTCTTACACAGAAATCGTTTGCTTTCTTGTTTTGGTAATACATGTCCAATGCTGATTTCGTTTGCTTGTTAGTGACCAGAGATAAACCTAGCACTGAAGTCGATAACCGTGCGCGCAAATAATCAATCTTACTCATTTTGTGACAGGAAATAATTTACTTACTAAGATCATTTCCAGCTAAGATTGCGGTCACACATGCTCATCCATTAGCGTGTTACGTGAGTACTCGTCGTTGTCATAATCATTGGTGTACTCGAGTCGCTTTCATCTCCAAGGCCTTCACATACCTCAGTTGTCCCGGGTACTGAAGTTGTTTGATCTAAGAAGCACATCTTTCATACACACTCGTCTGGCAACGTTCCCGCCTCCGCAACACCACATGTGCAACGTCTGGTCGTGGACGATTTCCTTTCAGAAGGTAACACCCCCATTTCAGACAGGAAATGCTGACAGAGTTTTACGTACAGTATGTCTACTCGTTTGTGAGTGATGCAAGTGGCTGTGAATGAGTGAAGTATGTGTTACAAGTAGGGGAATGGAACGTATGTTGTGGATGACAGTAGAGAAACATCGCTTTGCGTCCACGCGAACTTGGCGTCACTGGTGTCTAGACATAAGTAGGTTTCCCGAGGCCGCAACTTTATTAATTAATTCTTAGTTCCGTATTTTCGTGTGATTTTTTATTTGGCAGGAAAATGTCGTATATTACTATTGCTGAATATATATTATTTAACGATGGGTTAAATACTTTTTTCGTGTTTTTTTCAGTTTTGTGTAATGTTTAAGATTCTGATGTGTTGAAAAATAGGCACCCCCTCAACTAATGCACACATAATTCTGCAACGTATCTCGAAAGGAATGTAAGATATATTTAAATTTCTCTCGATATTTTTATAAATAATAAAAGAACTCTATTTTGAAACAAAACGTAGTCCATATTTTCTTCAGACTGGAACACTACAAAAGAATTATAATTGAAATACGTGCATTGCTACATAAACATTCTGTGTTTCTGATTGGTGAACATTTCTTTGTTTGACATTCTATTATGAACTGTTATGAACTTGACTGACTGAACTTCGCTTACAATTACACATTATTTACACAAATCATTAGTTATATTTTTCCTTTGCAATCCTCTTTCTGGATTACGAAAGCGTAAAATCATAAATGATCGATTGAGTACATTTCATTCCTCGGGGTACGTCAACTGTTGCGATCATTAGTAACGTAAATGTAGTGCATGTTTTCTCACGGGAGGCGGTGGTTCTCCTGCTAAATGGCGAGATCCTATGCCAACCTACACCTCGGTTTGCAGATTTTCCCCCACCTCTACAACGTGCGGGACACCGTCACAGCTGCAACAAGTTCTGAGCTCCCAACCGGTCTCCCGACATATGTTATAATGTATTGCATGTAAGAGTGTGTGTGTGTGTGTGTGTGAAAGGGGTGAGGATAGGCCAAAGGAGGGGAAGGAAAGATCGCGCGCGCGGTCCGTGGTCCGTTTGTTAGGGTACTAATCCAGTGTTCGGCTGTACATGGAACACGGAAAAGTACCGACGGGACCAGTTATGCAGCTAGTGTCGAAACTCCTGCCACCGTCAGAACTAGAGTGTAAGACCTCCCCTGGTGAGAGTCTGTAGTGACATCACTGTGACCTGATTCACCTCAGCCGGTCTAAGTAGTAAACGGTCAATCTTTTATGAAACGGTGATATCCTTCAAGTGGTCACCGTGGTCCTAGTGTTTGATAAAACAAAACCGAGCTTGAATCCTTTTCGTGTGTCCTTAATTGTACCGGGCGATGCCTTGCTTCGTCTTATCTGATGTGCTGTGCTGTGTGTTTCAGGCCCTGCACAGCCCCAAGGCGCCACCGCAGCAGAAGCCCTCAGAGCCAGCGCACGCACAGCTCCTACGCGCCTCCGAGGTAGACTCACGCAGGTGAGCCCCCCCACACACACGCACACGCGACACGTGAAGAAATGAAGGCAGGAAGTGATGCATGGAACGGTTGAAAAAGTGCGAAACAAAATGAAAGAAAGAACAAAAGTGATGGTTGGAAGAGTGTAAGGGTAATCGTAATGAATTGAATAAATGAATTCTTGTTGAATTATGCAAAATAATATAATTAAATAAATAATTCATTGAATGGGGAAGTCACACTCTGTAAATGAGTAGGAAAATCTTAATTCGTTTACAGAATACAAACTTATTAAATCGTATCCTTTTCTGAAAAGGAATTAAATATTGAAAAAATATTGTTTTTCGATGGTTATATTTATCAATCTTAATGGATGTGTTAAGTCCATTAAGACACTCGTGTTAGATTACCCTTTGGTCAATGGCTTATTTGAAGTACAGCATGTTGCATTAATATCGGGTACCTTCGTATCCTTCAATTTTACTTCAATACTTTTCCGGCAGTACAAAATATAAAATACAATGTGTTTCATTCAAATACATGATAGGATCACGCAACTAAGGATGTTGTTGTTTATTGCTCTAAAATTAAAAATCTTAATAACGCCTGAGACTTACAGAATTCATAAACCAACCGAGGGTATTTCGTTTTCACTCCTACGAGGGCTAAATTGAGTCGTTTGGCGTATCTCCTTTCAAAGACTTACGATATTGGATTTATCTTTTTAGCATCACTGCTCGTTAATTGAATTAGAAATAATGCAAGCATTAAAAATAAATAACCATCCTAAAGACATGCTACTGGAAAATATTTTTTTAATGTAAGTTGATTTATTAATTATGCTATTTATTTGATTAATAAGTAATGTAACGCAGTCTATTCCGTTATAAAAGTAAATGATCTTCAATAATACATTGATTGAATCGTACGATGCATAACTTCTCTTCCCAGACGATCTCATTGACATATCACATTGGTTTGAACTAACAAATTGAAAAATTAATTTCAAAGCATTCATTTTGTAACATATATTAGTTAACCGATGAATTTCCTAATATTATGCAGAGATCCTTGCTTACTACTCCTTACTGAATTACAATATTTCTCTACTTCCACTTGTTTTGCTCATTTTTGTGGTACCAATTATATACTTCTCTCTCGTACAGCTTAAATATGAATTATTTGGAAGAAGTTATTTGAAAGAAGAAATCCTCTTAGAGCTCTCTTACTGTTGCTGTTGTTGACAATAACTTATCGTTAAATTGTTTGTTTAACTTCGCGGTGCACGTCCTCATTTGAATCAAATTGAAATGTGGTTAATTTTGATGGTTTAGGAGAGGGATCAACATTTTCTTTTAGTAAACTTGATATATTTCACGATATATTTGATTGAAAATTTGCTTTTATTTTCTGTAACAACACAAAACAATTTTCCCAGCATTCATTTTCTATTTCTTTCTTAAAGAAGTGAACACTTAGAATATAATATCAAAATCATGAACAGTTCCTATGATCTGGTCACATTTTTTGTGGGACAATTGTCACATGACTATGAAATTACGAGGTAATTCTATTTAGTCGCTCTTGATTACTAATTGCTTAGCTTTGCTTTTAGCCCATCTCGGTCCATTTGCATCACTTCAAAGAATTGAAATAACTCTCGCATTTCCGCATCCCGGGCCGCAACACTTTCCAGGTCCACCTTTATCCTGTAAATCATCTCCTTTGTTTGGTTCCCAGCTCATTCGAAAACAAAATGTCTCCGAAAATACAGCGAGCGAGACTGAATGGCCTACATTCAGCAGTAGCCTCCGGGGGCAGCCGGGCTGCGAGGAGGAAGTGCAGCACGCTCTGGCGGCCGTCTGGGGAAGCGCGCGTGGCGCCGGTGCGCCTGCGCTGCGCCGGCCGGAGCCGGAAATAGCGCTGAGGCGCGGGAGCTCGCGGCGCCGCCCACGCCGCCCCCGGGCACGCACGCACTCCTGCTTTCACTTGCTCTTGGAAACTGTTCCCTCCCAGGCGATGTAAAGGGTTTAATAATAATAATAATAATAATAATAATAATAATAATAATAATAATAATAACAACAAACTGAGGGTATTGCTGTCCCGTGCGATCAAAACGTCGTAACCAAGGAGGCAGAGAAACGTCTTAGGTACAAAAGGTTGAAAATCGAGATCAGTCGAAAATAAGTCATAAAAGCACAGGTCGTCCCGATAGTTATCGGAGCTCTGGGATTTCTTCCGCAAAATTTGGGAAAATCGTGGCTTAACCCCCAGATCATGCAAAAGACTCGGATGTGCAAGACATTGCCTTATTTGGTACAGCTCACATTTTGCGCAAAGTATTGTAGAGGAACTGACAGTCATTAGATCTGCTTTTTAGGAAGCTGGTTGCAACCTGAGTAGATTTTACTCAGCCGACTCACAAATAATTAGTCATATTGCCTGAATCACATTGAGTCATATTGCCTAAGTAATGCAAATGGATTTTTTAGAATACATCTTTAGTTTATAAACATTGATATCGTATCGCCATTTGTGGACGAATTATCCAGGTGTCTTATGGTCAAGAAAAGAACACTTGCTGCACTGACAACAGGACGAGATGCAACATGTCTCTATTGAGGCTTCCTAAAGAGAGAACGTTAGATCATGATCCATTTATTCTGCACACTGAGGTCGTGTTGCAGTGCGCTATTTCTGTCACACCGACGTCCCACACATCCAGAGCTCTTTCCACACATCCAGAGCCCCGAAGCAACGGCCTCTCCCCGCACCAGTTGCGTTTGCCTCCGCAGGCGCGGAACCCATCAAACTCATCACTAGGCCGCTGGCAGGCGCAGGGCGACAGGCGTAAATAACTTGGCGGAGGTGGTGGAGGCGGTGGAGGCGGCGGAGGCAACGGTGAAAGCGAGGGACGAGGTAGAGGAGGGGGCGAAGGAGATGGCGGAGGCATGGGATGGAGGGTATGGGGGGAGAGGTAAGGGACCAGGGCTGAGGAGTCGGTCGCAGCGTTAGCATTAGGGCAGGCGGAGACGACCACAGGAATCGGAGGTCGTGAAGGTAACAGTGGGAGTGGTAGAGCTGGTGGGACTAGGTGCGGAAAAGTGGGGGAGGGGGCTCAGAAGATGTGAGGGAAAAAGGAGGGGAGTGAAAAATACGGAGAAATCAGCATGGGATGGGAAAAAAATCTAGGTAGTGAAAAATCAAGGAAGATGGGATGGTGGAATGGTGAGATGGTGGGATGGAATGCTGGAATAGTGAGATCGGCGATAATGGGAAGGTGGGGTGAAGGGATGGCGGGATGGCAGGACGGTGGGACAGCGGATGGCGGAATGGTGGGGAGGCCAGATCACAAGATCTCGGAATGGTGAGATGAAAGGATCACGTGGTCACATAATGTCGGGTTGACGGGAACTCAGAATACCGGGATAATAGGAACTCGAAATTCTAGGAACAGAGGAGCTCGGGATGTCCGCAGGATGGAATGTCCGGGACGATGGGATGTTGAGATGACGAGATGACTGGTTCGGCATGGTTTATCGAATTTAGCTTGCCGAGAATATACGTAAAATTTTAATAGACACATTCCATTAAGCTTACATTAAAATTCCATTACGTTTGACCAATATATCGTTGTTTAATTACACACAGCCTACGCGTAGAAAGTTATCTATATTTTTGTTGCATTTACATCCACTTATCAAATTTTCCGACATGAACCTGATTTTTAAATTTTTTCATTTATATGCATTTCCTCTACAAAATATTTGTGACATATGTATTTTTTAATTCCTGAGTTTTTATCAACTCTTTGAAAAACGTTTTACTCTTTTATTAAGTGTGTAACTTTCAAAAATATCTGTTTATCGATCCCAAACTGATATTATATTTCTTTGAAATCACAACCACTAAATTTAAATTAATAAAGTACGAGCACATTTTGCAAATGATTTCGGATAAATTGTGTGAAATTTAATCAATGTTTTCTTACCGGTTTCTTATCCTTTCATAATATTTTGATAATTTTCCACCTGCCTAATGTTCCACCATTAGAGAGAAGTATTACGCATTAAATCCCAAGAAATTCTTGTTCTCACTTCAGAACTCTGCAATTATTGTTATACGTGTTATGTTTAATGTGGGAGCAATTAATAATAAAATGAAATGATTATTTTCTGGCTTGCCTTCACCAAGAGGACAAATTTTTATTTATGTTTAAATGTATTACGAGGCTGATAGATATGGAGAAGCTTCAATTTTAATTTTATATTACATTTCAATTTTATGTTTAACTGGAATCTATGGGGTGATTTATGTCATAATTGATTTTCCTACCCTCCGTTAAACTTAATTACCTGGTAATAGAAACCACTACTCTCTTTAAGAAGCGAAGTTGGATATTAGTACAAAGAGGAAAATGAATTACTTGCAATACTATTAAAACAAATATCTCTGTGGTATAAATGATTTAGTAGACGTTGAAATATAAATTAAAATTAAAATTGTAGTCGTTATAAATTTCGTTAAAGAGAAGAGCTTCATTTCAGGAAATCCGGTAGTATAGAGAACGTTATGACAAAAATGTTGGTCAGTAATTATTTTATTTACTGATGTATGCAGTCAAATAAATTTCAATAGATTGTTAATTAGTCATCAAATCGCCATTCAGACTTCAGGAATGTAGCAAAAGGAGGGTTCACACATTCAAACTGGGAACATTTCTTACCAGAAACATCATTCTGATAATAAATTCATTATTAATATACTTTTATTTTTTATCTTCTCTGAGTTCCTTATTACAGTGTTGAAGACATACCCCACAGCGAAAATCACGCGGTAACATTTTTAAATTATATTTCTAAAAAGAATAACCATGTTTATACTCAAAATTTTCAAATAGAAACTTAAATGAGCACTTTACTTGTCAATGTCAATTCAATGTCAATTCAAGATCTGTCACTAGCGCTTGCTCTTAACGCTCTCAATTTACGACTTCCGGTGCCATTTGTTCCTTATCAAATAGAACAAAAAACGTTCGAAACCAATTATTCCTTGCACCATCTATCTCACGAGTGTTTGCCCGGGCGCCCTTGCGAGTTGCTCGTCCGCTGGCAATCGCGTGTGGCGGGC